AAGTATAGTAACTGTACGTCTCATATTATTGCAGTGGCTTGATTAATACTTTTTAATTAATGTGATATAGAAAGGCTGTTATTATCAGGTTGATTAATTTGAAAGAAACTTCAAGCAAAAGTTTATAATGGTCCATAAAATATATATAAATAAATATTTAATCCAATAAACACAATTATATACTAATGTCAGGACAAACGATACTTTGTTTAACTTATAAATTTGCATGCTCTTAAATTTTAATTAAAGTTAACACAAAGACGATTATTCAAATTAGAATGCCTTGATAGATATTTGGTAAGATACATGTCAATATTAAACATATATGTATATAATTTATATAACATAAGTAGCTAAGTATACTGATATATAAACAGCTAATTATGATGAAAATTGTAATTAAGGTTTTGGAACATGCTGATAGTCTAAGTAGTTGCCGGACGTTAATAATAAAAATTAAATTAGTTGATGCTACAAGGCACTTACCTCAAAATAATCTAAGTCCTGATATTAAATGAATATATACATAGAGTGAAAGATATGTGTAACTGTGCATGAAAAAGGATACACTAAAAGAAAGCATGCTTAAATTTATTTTTAAGTTTGAAAAGAACATTTAACCAGCATTTATTAAGGTGTAAAATGAATTAGTTATATTCCATCCACTTCTATGAAGAAGGTATTATATAAAAAAAATATATATGAAATAAAAAATTAGTTAAAACCTTAAAAGTTTTAAAAATATGTATTTTTTGGAGATATTAATTATGTTGAAGGTTGATGATGCTCAGTATTGTTGAAGAGGTTGAAAAAATATCACATTGTACATGTACTACAACAATATTTATACACTGTACCACTCTCAAAATGTTCTACTTTGCCATTCTGGAATGGGCACAAAATGATAGCTTCTAAGCAAACAGCAGCATTTAACTTGCAAGGGCAGATTCAGGAGAATTCAGTTTTGCAAACTGTAAAACTTATTTAATGTAGCAATAATTTTGGATTTGATCAAGACCTTTGATCAAAAGGCCTTAAAATGTACAGGCATTTAAGTAAATGTAAAATATGCAAAATTCAGAACTTCTCAGACATTGGCAATGCTTGGTCATTTTGTTGTCTTTGACACCTTGACCTTGAATTCTTCTGATTGTCCTGACAAACTGTATGTAACCAAACTCCTTCTAGTAAATAGGAAATCATGTAGGACCTTTATTTCACTTTTGTCAATATTTATAATTTTGCGCACAAATAAAATAAAACCAAACAATGTGAAGGAAAAGCGCCAAATGTGACAGGAGAGCGCCAAATGTGAAGGGAGCTAGAGCAAAGATGTGATGGTACAGCGCAAGACGTGAAGAAACAGCGCAAGGAATAGCGCACAGTCAGTGAACGCAGAAATGGTGAAGTAAAACATTTCAAGGTTTGGTATGGATTTATGTGTTTAGTGTTAAAAAAGGGACCATCGTAAAAAAAGTCTGATGCATAGATACATGTGTGTTCTACAGCATGCAATGAATGAAAATGAGTGTAAGTCATAAATATAACCAACATCCCCATATTTAACTATAGAAAATTTTTAGAAGAGAGAAGAAAAGAATTAGATTTAACCTACCTGTCTAAGGCTAATGAGTTCCTTCTCACGAGCATCTCTATCTTCTGTGGATTTCAGTGGAGTTTCTTTAGATTTCGAAAGCTGGAATATGGTAGAAATTGTTTACATTTACACCTCCTCTCTAGTTTCAATTATGCATCATAATTAATTTAGCATGAGTTGTAAAGACTAATGAACATTTAACATTATCAATTAAACATTGCCTATATTTGATAACACAAATAACCAAATATAACTGACCTTATTCGAAACAGAAGAAATTTGTATATCTCTTTCCCGAACTTCTTTCCTCAACATCTCAATCTCACGTGTAAGTTTACTAATGGTGGTATCCTAAAAAAAAGACATTGTTATTTTTACAAAATTCACTCCTCTATATTACTTGGTATATCAATCATTTCATTAGATTATTTCAGAGATTTATTATTAACTAATTATAAAATTTGATCTCCGACCTTGTTAGCCATGTCTTTCTGCATCTGAGTGACGAGGCCCGAGGTGATGTTGCGCTCTTTCTTGGCGCGCTCTAACTCTATCTTCATCTGATTTGTCTCTTTGTTGTCCGTCTCCAGGACTGTTGTCGTCGTTGTTGATGATGATGGCTGCTGCTGACACTGTAAGCTACTAAGCTGCAATTACACAAAGGTTAATTACATAAACCTTTTTCTCATAAATGGGACCAAAAATGTATAAAAATATAAGCCTAAAGGTAAATTTTTTTATGTAATATATCTATAGTTTTCTAATTTAATCACAAGGTATACAAATTATCAGAGACTGGGATACTGAAGATCAACTGTACATAATATATTGCCAAAATTGTGTTAATAACCTTGTTACATTTATTCATTTACGATTTTTTTTGGCATAACTTAAACCAATAATTAAGTAAGATGTATACAGCCACTGCAAATGCATCTTTTTTTCTACTGAATGATACAGAAAGCTTTGTGAGGTGAGGTGTGATTAGTTGTCTAAACCTGTTTACCTGTTCTTTGACTGCATTCAGTTCCTGCTCTTTGGTCGTGACCTCATTCTCTAACTGACAGATTTTCTGGGTCAGATTAACATCCTGTCCCATGATCAGGGGCTGCTGCTCTGCAAACTTAGATTTCAGATCATGCACCATCTGCTGTAGTGTTTGGATGTAGGCGTCTTTACGGAATGATTCCATTTCTACATCTCTAAGTCTTCCTACTTCACCATTAAGCTGCATTATCTTTTGTTCCTGAAGAGAAGGCTTTTATTTCAATTACATGATGTGTTTACTACAGTATAATTCATTATGTATGGGTGTAGTGAATACATGAATATGTATACTCCAAAACAGATCACAGAACTGTTTATGGATTAGGAGGATATTTGTAGAAAGACAGGCAGATACCAACCTTTTCTTGGATCTTGCTGATGTCTACATTCTGATTCACTTGTTGTCTTCCAGAATTAGCATTTACCCAACCATTTCTCATACCTATTAAATCAACATGTATCACTGATGAATTATTTTGTTCACTGCCACATGAAATTTAATTTTTTTTTCATAAAAATCAACAAGAACACAATATATGCCGCATAATGAGATGGAAAGAATAGCTATATTCTTACTTTGTGGCATGGATGGAGCAGGTGAAGGAACTGGGGTCCCTCCCACTGTCTGAACTCTGCGAGCTGACCCAGCACTTAGTGGTCTCCCTCTCATGGATATAGGGGGACGGGGTAAAGTATTGCGGTCTGAGGGGGTCCACACAGTGGAGGGAATGGTGAAGGTGGCAGTGCCAGTTTGTAGGAATGGTAGTGTTGAAGTTGTGTTAAATATCGGTCCTTGTTGTGCAGTGTAGGACATTTGCTGGGTTTGGCCTAGCATGGACTGTTCATTGGTCACCTCTTGGAGCAATGTCAGTGGCTGATTCCAGGTTTGCTGAGAGTGTACAGGTGGACAAGAGACCTGCACAGAGTAAATTGTAAAGTTGGTGGAAATTTAAGTGATGAAACTTTTGTTTTTCAGAATCTGAGTGCTGTCTTATAGTGTTTGATAAAATACTGAAAAATTACACTAAAACTTGCTCACACAGAACTAGGTTAACAAGAATTCCCCCAAAAGAAGGTGTTCTTTATATGCAGTTTTTACTTTAATATGTGTTGTTAACAACAACAATTTAACAACTGCTAAAATACTTAAGGAAATAATTACTAGTAAATAATTTATTATGAGAATGCACAAAATAAATTTATTTTGTTCATTGTTTAACTCCTAGACAGTGGTCATCAAATTATTTACTTATCAACTGTATAACTTACAATCTATCACTTACATTTTGTTGGCTATCAACTACAAATTCATATAATGTCCCCATGTATCCAAATTTAATCTGGTCTCCTGGGGCTAGTCTAATTGCGGCATTTTGAATGCGACAGTCATTAACATATGTGCCTTGTGCAGTATTCAGGTCCTTTAATACATATACATTTTCCTGGTCATTGTATTCAATAACTGCATGCTGCATATCTACACCACCAGTCTGTAAATTATAAACCACATAGTTAATGTATTTATAACATGTAACAGTATATAGTGTATATATAAAATGAACATATTTAATTAAGTACTGTGTATATTTACCGGAACCATGGACAGTATCTTTATTGGTATCATAAAATGTCAAATTTTGCGAAATCTTTTCTTTCTATTATTTATACACAGTTATATAGGGAACAGTTTTATTGTAATACATGCAGTACTAATATTTATTTTAATGGAACAATTCAGCCTATGTACATTATCATAATGCATTAGCCATTACATTAAATAAAGTTAAAAGTAAAGTATGATTTTCTTTGAAGTAACACATTGTAACATGATGTTACAAGAAGTGAAATAAAACCACGTACCTTTATTAACACATCACAACCCTCACAACCTACGGTCGTTAGCTTAGGCAAAACCTGATGGTCACTTCCATCGTGACCTCTCAAATAGGCTCTCATCTCGCAGGTGCGCGTTTCAAGTCACCTTAGAAAAGTATTGTTTACGCTTGATTTTATATAAAACAATACATCAATAAATATTATACACCAAAATAAAAGATATCACAAACTAGAGAGGCTTGATTGAGAATCAAAGCGCATGCCCTGTCTTGCTTGACGACAATAAATATTTATTTTTTACTTCTATAAACAGGGCATGCCGATCCCGATCATAAAAGTGTGTGAAATTAAATAATTATGATTAATCATGCGCTTTACTTTTCATTTTTTTCTCAGTATGGTCTGTATCTAATTTTTATCTTTAACTGCTTCATAGATTTTTAAAATGTTATGAAAGGCTTTTTGGCCCGAGCTGCAAGGGCTGATTTTGCTCGACCTTTTTCGGCTTTTAGCGAATACATCCGAATGGTTACGGAGTCGAACGGATTTAGCACGATGAAATCTAAACACGTGTGTCGTCTGTGTTAAGATATGGGGCATAAACTTGCCATGTATGTTCATGAGAATGTACGTGCCTTGCGTACAGGGATACAAGAAAAAATCATGGACTTTTAATAAGCGATTATTCTCAGATATTGGACTTGTTTGTGTGGCTGTTACATCATTGTGTAAGTGTACCTTTGTCCTTATACAAAATATCGAATTTTCTCTGCTTCCTGCTTCTGTTGTTCTGCTTGAAGTCAAATAAGTATAAATGCTTTTTATAAAAAAAAAAATGATGACCAAGTTATGGAAATATTTTCAAATAAAAAATAAAATGATAATAACCACAGTAGTTTAGTTTAAATTATATAAGTATGATGGATTATGAATTGATTTAATATAAACAAAATAAAAATTATGAGTTTTATATTGATAAAAAAAAAAGAAAGATTTTTAAATTAAAAAAATGCATTGTTAATGCCAATGTATGTTACTAGTTTTTGAAATTAAGCATTGCAAACCTTGATTATGAATTGATTTAATATAAATTATGAGTTTCATATTAATAAACAATATAAAATAAACATTTTTTTTTTAAAAATTTACCTTGCAAAGCTATGAATTGTTAATGGATATACCTAACCTTAAAGTATGATACAGCATAAAAGACAGCAACATGCTTTTATACTGAATTCTTTGTGTTTGACTACTTTACATGCATGAGTGAATTTACCGACAACTACTCAGAACTCGCCTTAGAGTATTTTTTTTTTTAGATTTTTTTTGTATTTTCATTACAAAAAAAATACCGTGATCAAGGTATTTGTAATACCTTGATCAAGCTATATACCTTTATCATAAAGCTCTGAAAGTGAGCCTGAGCTTTTTTGTTCACATTGTATTTGGCCTCTTTCTCTTTGTAAACTTTTTAAATTTTCAACTTCTTAAGAACCACTAGGCAAATTTCATCTAAGCTTGCTACAAAGCATAATCAAGTAGAGGGGTTTTAAGTTCTGGGTTGTCCCTTAACAATCTTGGAATTGGGAAATTCCCCTGTCTAAAAAGTGTCTATAGACTATAATGATGTACATCCCTGGTAATTCTGGTATTAATAGGAGAGCAACCACAGACTCCCTTCTACTTTTTGAGTCACCTGAGTCACTTGGGTTGTCCATTGCTATGTGTTTCATCCATTATCAATTGTGTCTGACACCTGTCTTCCATTAATATTTGAATATTTTGAGCTTCTCCTCAGGAACTGCTCAACCACTTTCTACCAGTTTTGTCTGTATGCATCAGTGATTGAAGGGGAATGAAAATTGTGATTTTCATAATCCTTGCTCCCTTGGAGCCTGAGGGGAGGGGCTAAAAGCTTCAAAATCAATGATGGAATCTTTTAAAAATCTTCTATATTCCCCATGTTCCCAGACTTCAAACTGTTAGGGCATGATGGTGATAAGCAGCGAGCTCTCTACAAAAATTTATAAAGTCAGGGGTCTTGGTGTTAATTTAAGGTGGAAATATAGTCCATGCAAGTACATTTTAAATTTTTTTTTAATTTAAAAATTTCTTCTTATTTGATCCTTGGACTTTTTAAGCTGCTGCAAACAAAATAATTGCCTACTTATTATCATCTAGGGTGCCTCTTTGAAATTGTATTCCTTGTATTAGGTAAAACATTCTTCCTTTACATTCTTACATGCGACTTGAAAGTCTAATTATACAGTAGGGCCTTATACTTTAAGAAAAAAAATCCTTCATAATTCTATACTTTAAAAAAAGCATTTCTAATGTTTATTATACAGTAAGGCCTTATACTTTAAAAAAATTCCTTCATAATTCTATACTTAAAAAAGAATTTCCAATGTTTAATGCCTAATGAATGGTAAAAAAAAAATGTTAAAGCCAACTTAAAGGGTTTTGAGGGGAGCGGAACAGACAGAAAACCCTTGGCTTGCGAGGATAAGGACTACTCTGTAAAATGTTTGAGCAGTTGATGACATGTTTGACGTATTTTTTTTTACATCAAGTGAAGGAGGAACAGGTACACGTGTTATTTGCATTCCTTGGTCTTTGACATTTATGGAATCGATCGAGTTTATTCTGCTGTGCAGGTAAACAAAATTTAGTAATACCTAGAAAATTTGCAAGAAGCCAGCACTATAAACTTTAATTGAAGGTTGATGTTCAGGTCCATGACGAAATGCATGTTTGCTTTTGAACCAAGAGAATAAATGTAAACATCCTTTTTTTTCTAATTTTACAAGTCTCACGTACAAAACGCATGTTTAGATTTTTTTGGTCCTCATGCATTGCTTTCTGCTGCAATGCCATTTGATACATTATTTCACTGAAAGACAATTCGTTTGACTTTAATCAATAATACTTTCACGATAATCCTCTTAAATAAGACACATATTCAGTCTAAACTGTGTACGTTAATTTACGAAGATTTTAAGATACAGATGCACTTCATACATTAATTTAAGAAGATCTTGAATAAGATACACACTGCATAGTGCGTACATCAATGTAAGAAGATTTTGTCAGCTGAAGAGGAAGGGGAAATCTGACATCACATCCCTTTGTTCTGTTATGATTTAGATTTGTCATAATATGTTAGTAAATTGGCTTGAAATTCACCATTGTGGTCAAAAAGCTAATTGATTTACTATAGGAAGATGGTCATATTAATGAATCATCTTTATAGTAAACATTTGAACCTTAAAAGGGAAGGATGTTTTAATTTGTTTGTTTCTTATAACTGAAAAAAAATCTTGTTGAAGAAAAAAGGCTAAAAAAGGATCAAGAGTTTTCTATCTTAGAATGTAATGCCTGCATGGATTTGTGTTTTAATACTTGCATAACACTAATTGCACAAAAAAGTTCACACAAAGAATGTGTCCTTATGGCAGTGTCAGACTTTGATTTTGTTTAGTGCTTGTTTATGTACCTGGTACTTGTACTTATTCTAACAGATAAACAAGAAATTATGGGAAGTTCCATTCTAATACAGTAAAACATGGTTATAGCGAACACACTTCTTACAAAGAATGACTCTTACAATGAAGTGATTTTCATTCTTTGTGACTTCAAGAAGTATTATAAACTTAACAGATATAAGAATTATGCTTATGAAGAAGTTCGGGCTTTACGGACCGTGGATATCGGCCTGGATAGCTCAGTGGTTAGAGCACCTGAAAAAAAATGCAGGGGTGAAGAAAAAAGGCTACCTGGTAGATGCAGCCATATGTTTTCTTTGTGCATTTCACCAATCCTGACAACATTTGGTGGCCAGTGTGGGGGTCAGACTTTGTTCAGGTTACAGTGTATGTTAAATTTAATTCCTGGCAGGGCCCTAGAACTTGTGTCTTCGAGATAAACTGTTTAATCCTCCAAGGAAATTATGGGAAGTTCCTTTACGGACCTTAAATATTGGTTATAGCTCAGTGGTTAGAGCACCTGACTATTAATGCAGGGGTCTTCATTCCCTGTGACTTCAAATGTTTTCTTAACAGATAAATTTCTCCTTTCCTACTACACTTATAACCAAGTAAAATTGTCCCTCCCTGGCAATTCATAATACATATTAAGTGTATTTACTCAAATTACTGTTAAGTTTTTAAGAAATTTTTTTTTACATTAAATTGACTAGCAATTACCGGTACAAGAAGCTTGTATCTCTGCTATACCGTATCAAAGAAATAGATCAAAGTATGTTGTATAAAGGGTAATGAAGTAAATTAATTAATGCTCTGTTGACATATGAATACAGTGTAGTTCAATAAGAATTGAACATGACTTAATACTGATTTCAATTATGAGAATTTAATTAAAAATAGTTTAATTTTGATTAACTTACTGCGAATCAGTTTTTGACACATTGACTTGATGTGAAGTTCAAAGCTAAGTGAAGCTAATCAGAATTAAGTTTTGATTCATTAGTAATATATCAAAATTAAGCTACTGTACACATATCACTGGTCAGATAGCATTAAATTCTGTTTTGAATGAAAAATATAGAAACTCTTCACTTTATTATTGAAAATGCATTTTAAAACTAGGTACATCAAATTAAAAGTAAACATAAGTAGGAACAAAAAAAAAATATTTGATAAGCTGATAAAACAAGTGTCTTGTACTGTACGAGCTATAACACACGTCCATACATTACATTAAATGTCCTAATATTGTTCAATTTATAGAATTTGCTTTTAGAAAAAAAAAATTCCAGGTGGTTTGGATGATTGTATCTCAGGCAAAGTTGACATGCATGCCCACATATTTAGATGGATTTCTTCCTAAAAGAAAATTTAAGAGTCAAATATTTTTTGTAAAAAAAATGAATGCTTTGATAACGATTTATCGGTAAGTGAATTTGACTTGTCTCTGCTTGGTGTCGTGTTTAACTATAAAACAGGTGTTTGGTAGCTAGGAGATTGATTGATAGAATGAGTCCTAGGGCAATTATGTCAGCATTACTCCATAGCCATGGAAACCTGATCAATGCAGATTTAATAATATATTTTAGCTATTGGTTGTACTTACTATAAAGTATCAATCATTGAAAAACTTTGTACTCATTTAAATATTTAACATTGCATTTTGCTTTAGAAAAATTAGAACATCAAAATGCAGAGCAACCAAAGAGCAGGAATGCCATGCATTTGTTTATAATATGTCAACATTTTTCATTCACATTGAATTTGATACATCACCACTTGCTGGTGGAGGGCTGCAAACGTAGACATTAGGGCCTTTGAGCAGTGAGGGGGTCTTTTCCTGCCAGCTCCCACTGTGTCATGGGACCTTGTTTTATACACAGTCTAGTCTAAGGGCCAGTCTCCAAATCCCACAGTGGGATTTAAACCACTTGTAATGTATTAAAAGATCAACTTCTTACTCTGCGACTCTAGAGTAGAGCAAAAGCTTTAACCACTGCACCATTTTGCATGCAAATGCTTCTTTTGGTAAAGATGAAAATAAACTGTGGATTTTAATTTATGGTCTCTATTTTCCTTTGCCCTGTGAACCATTAAAATTAATGCAATCTTCTAAAATATTTCTGAATCCTAAACATCCAGCAGTGACGCCATGCAAAATGTTGATACGATTAGAAGAAGAATAGAATCCTTTACTAAAAATATGTGAGTTTCAGTTTGGATGGGTATATATTTTAGTTTTATTCTCCCACAACTCCTTCATCCAAATATAAACTAAGTGCCATTTATGCCAACAAATCATGTGACTTTAATATCGAACAAGTGACTACTACTGTTGCACATAAGAAAAATCCTTGACCAGAGCATATCTTCTCTCCCTTTGATTCAATGTGGCTCATACTTCACTCACAGAGTGCCACTGGTCATTGGATGTGCAATGATCTTGAAGTTTCTAGGTCAAGGTCAAAACCTTTTCAGCTACCTTTCATTTTTGTGTTCCTTGCTGAAAGCGGGGCACTTTGAGATGGCCACCACCGCAAGGATATCTAGTGATTTGGTTATGACAGAGTTGAAACGTCACCCATTTATGTTTCACTGGTTCTTTTTTCTTTGTAGTGTGTGTATTGTTCCTCCATTACCAGCTATCTACCTCAGATGAAACTGAAGACCATCAGAAATTTCTCCCTACCTTTCACAGACAGATCAGAAGTGCAGGACAGACAGGGCACCGGGGCAGTTCCAGGAGAGTCCACACAGAAACGCTGGTGCCATCCTGGTTACAACACTACTGTTATGGACGTCCACCAGGCCAAATATCAACAGGTATAGTAAAAAAAACATCAGATGATTTATTTTGTGAAAGTCAGATTCCATTACAGTGCATGGATGTTATTTTTATGCCCCCCTCCCTTTAAAAAGAAGTGAGGGCATATTGCTTTGCTGCTGTCTGTCAGTCCACCATCAGTTTCCATTCATTTTCTTCACAGAGGTTGCACAAATTGACATGAAATTTCGTATACAGATTTACCATGAAAATATCAAGGTCAAATCTAGTTTTGGGTACGATCGGGCCATTTTGGACAGAGTTATGCCCCTTGGACTTAGAAAGATTCCAATTATTTGCAGTATCCATTCTTTTTCTTTGCAGAGGTTGCTCATACTGAAATGAAATTCAGTATAAAGATTTAACATAAGAAATATCTAGGTTGAGTTCTGTTTTGGGTACATGTACGATCGATCCATCTTTGTGTTACACACAGTTATGTATCCTCGGACTTTTGAGAAAAATTCCAATTCTTTATGTAAAATTTCATTGCAAAAGCTCAAAGGGGGGGGGGGAAAAAAGTGTTATATAGAACATAGTCAATAAATGTTTATGTTATACATTTCATCTTCATTTTTTGACATAGGTGTATTAAAACTGTATTTTGTACTGTCTTCCTTGATGTAACCTCATGTCTGTCACTTTAGTAGAACACCAATGAATGAAAATTAGATTAAGCTCCGTTTTGGGTACAGATCATTCTGTGACATAAAAATTCCAATCATTGGTCCAACAAGGATCTCATTTGTTAACCGGTTTCCAACATTTCACTCAGTGAAACATCAATTTTTTTTATACCCACTCAGCTTTTTTCGTATAGATTTGTATAGGAACAAACTTTTGTATAAAAATTGTATAACATAATTGGTAGATGATAAATTAGCGTATATAAAGTTGGACAAAAATATGCATTTTTAGCTGTTCTGGTCTGAGACTTGGCTATCATTGTTAATGGTGTTAAATGCATGCTTGTACAATGTACTTTAGCACCTGTGTCCTTGACCTTAGGTATCTTATTATAAGCCTTGGTGTGCTTTTTCTTATACCATCTGAAGTCTTTTTGAAAATAAAGTAAGGTGTTCTAAAATTCTACAAAGAAAAAAAAATTATTAAAGATGCTTTTAAGTTCTACTGTCAAAGTAAAATTGAGAAGAGTTTATGTAAATTGTAATGTAAAGTGTCTTAATCTGTCAATTTGGATTTTTTCCCCCCTAAATTGCCTCTTGATTCAATTTCTGTAGAATGATACTAAGAATGAATAAAAGTAAAGTTTACCAATATATGAGAGTCTTTTTTTGTTATTTTCAATGAAAAGTGTTTCCAAGGTCAAAAAGTGGAGTGTGAATATTGGGTAAATATGATTTGATAACCTTAATAGTTAGCTGTACACTCGAATCCCAGTACAGAGTAAATATAAAATTGCAGCCTGACAGAATCACTAATACTGTAACAATTATAAGGACAACTGACGTAGCATAAAACCTGACAGATAAACAGTTTTATGTAGGCAGCTGTTTGACAGGCTGATGACAGAACAGAACATGTACCAAACAGCCCCTATCTGTATCTACTGGTTATGGACTGAATAAAGATAGCTAGGTCACAAGGGCTATCAGTGTTCCTAGATACAATGGGGATTGACTTTGATGTGAGAATGTACATGTTTTTCCTGTTTTTAAAGACTGTTTCCTAAAATTCCTTTCTTCCTGTTCATAAAGTAATAAATGAATGATGGTTAGAGGCAGTCTAATATTTTTTAAATTGTGTTTAATTTTTAATTAATACTAAATTACATTTTAGGTCCTACACCAGAAGGATTCAGCTTAGAACAGGTCCACATTCTACTCACACCTGGCATTACATCCTCAGAAAATATCCCAAATTGTGTCAACGTTCCAGAGAGCAGGCAGTACACAGCTGATGTTCATCACCTGAAAAACACAGCTCTTCACAAAGTTTTTCAAAATATCCCCAGCACAAACAGCAGTATTCATTGTAAGAAGGAAGAGTTGCATCCCTTGGCTCATTATCAGCTTCACGAGTTAGGGAAGCAGTACTTTTCACTGTATATGGAAAAATGGAATATTGAAGCTAGTCACGTTGCCCCTAAACATTTTAGAATTCAATCACTAGATAAAAAAGACAGTTTGTCAAGTCTCACATCATTTCTGCATGGCATGTTACCACAGACACATTTTAAAAATGTAGATATTCAGAAGTTAGATGCAATCACTAATGTGTCTAAAAGACAGAAGATAAAATTAGGATGTAATTTTCAACCCAATTTGACTGACTATCTTGATCAACACTTTATGAAACACACACAAGCAGACAATGGAACTGGCCATTTTTACTCCAATGTCCTCCCAAATGTTTGCTCTTCATTGTCTCAAAAATCCAGAAATATTACTGCAGACAATATTGTCCAGAATTCCTTGCTTTTATTGGACAAAGGAATGAAATCCTGCAGTGGTCATCAAAGATGTCAAAAGCTGGCAGATCTGCATACATTCCCGTGGTTACAAGAGCTTGTTAGAAATGTCAGGATGATAAGAGATGTTTTTGAAAAGGTGTTTATCTATGCTGTTGATAGGGCCTTTATTTCATACTTGATGTCATCATTTAGGTACCGCAATGTCAAGGTCACCCACCCAGGGTCACATGCTTCTATAGAAATATACAGAAATGTTTATGAAAAGGTCAATCCTTACTATGTGAAAATATTGTACAATGGTATCGATATTTCTCATCAAGTTCCACTATGCACAAAAATACACCCATGGAGTTTGTGTAAACTCAAGTACTTTGTTGATTTTCAAAAGCAGAAGTACAAGTCTTTGTTTAAAGCTAGTCCCATGTTACAGAAAAGTTGTCATTTCTCTGTTATATGAATGTCTCTATTTATTATTAACATATTACTAGTTGCAATGTGTTGAATTTCAACTTACAAGATAGTCTGTATGATCTGAAATTTTATTCCTTTCCATCTTTCCCTTGTTATTCTGTCCTTTTTGAATGTAAAATAAACAGCTTGTCACCTTTAAAATAAGTTGCTAGGAAGTCAATTTTCTCTGAGTCTTATTCTTGCAAAGGAGACATTGCTTTAATTAATGTATATCTCAAATTCAAACTGATCAGTTGTTTGTGTGAATAACATGATGTTAAAGTGAATGGGTTTTAAACCATTACATCAAGAACAATTATGAGGAGGTTTAGATCTGAAATATAGTACAAATAATGTGGTTTATAAAGAAATGGGTGTGTGGATGCATGTATAGTATCTCATTTAAACATGTGATGTTTAATGAAATGACACAAGGAACATTGTATGTGTGTAGAATTGTAGATCTGAAATGTATGAAATTATTTAAGAAATGTTTTTGCATAGTATCGTTAAAAAAATGTTACCGTATTTCAGTGCGGTTAATATCATTGGAAACTGTAAATGTATTGGTGCATTTGTTTTCATAAATATTTAACATGATTAATGAATGTTCAAATGCTTATTTCATGTTTATTCTTTTGATTTGCTCCAAGGTGCTTTCAGTAGACCATTTTAGAGCTTTTTCTCATGCTAGAAATTTTCTTGAAACAGGTTACCTGGTACAGCTATAATATAGTTCTAAGGGATGAATTTGACCAAAAGTGAAGGAAAATAAATCTGCCTTTGAAATATTGGAGCAATGGTGTTAGGTCGATTCCTAACTTTATGAGAATGAACAAAGAGAGATAATTCTAAAATACCTTTAGATACTTCTCTTTGCATCAAACCTAATATTGAATTGCTAAGATCATGTAACAGCTATTCTCGCAAATATTGTCAGTTTTGAAGTTAAAATTACTATATAAGAGATCTAGCAATGTGAATGGTTCAAAATGTCTAGTGTTGCTTTTTTGTGTGTATATTTTGATAGCATTTTTACAATGAAATCTATTTTTACAATGAATTCTATTGAATTCAGTATCAGATGTATTAATTCAATGACGAATTTATTGTTGTTTTTTTTTTTATTTTTCATGTATGTATTTTATTCTACATGTATTTTATTTATTAACTATTTTTGATTGTCATGAATTCTTTTGAATTCAATACAAGATGTATTAATTCTCATACAATCATTTTTGTTTTATCGAGTTTGTACTTACTACATAATTTTGCTTCATGCTGTCTTTCTGTTGTGTCTGGTAGTAATGTATCATTAAGGTGTACAGAGATAAAGTGTTGAAATTAATGTGAATAATTATTAATGGAATGAGACCTTGATTATCTTAATTATTTATGAATTAAGAAGATGGATATTTTTGAGCATTATTTTTAATTTTTTTTTTTATTCAATTGAGAGAGCAACCTTTCTACAAATATAAGATGTTACAAAGAATTATAGTCTTGAACAAGAGGAATCAGGGAAATTCATTATGTGGGTCAATTTACTACAAGAATATTTTCAACTTATAACCATAACACATTTGCATAGTTTTATTTATCAAGTTGTTGCTTAATTTAATCAATTATTGTATCATTTCTTTTTAATGAAAAAAAAGGGCATGAACAAAGCATAAACGCAAACAAGTCAATGCCACACATCAGTGATGTCATAATAATTAGTATTACAGCATGTATAACATTAAAAATCAGTTTAATATGGCAGTATAAAATGCTAATTAGTATTAAGACTATTGTTTTATGTATTGCATAATTAACCAGTGTCACAGTATTTTTCATGTATTGTACATCCTATTGAAAAATTCTTAATACCTCAAGCAATATTATGAGAATTCAGGATCTTGACAACTATAAAAACATTAGTCATCATAGACGTGTTCATGAAAAAGAGCATTTAGCCTTGTTTTGTTTTGTAATATTTGCTAGTTCTTAGCTCTAGACTTCAGGATGAATTCATGTCATTTAGTGAACTGAAAGTTTACTGCAAAGTGACTGGATGACAGAACTTCCCTGAAAGTTACTGCAAGTTGGCTGAATAGCTGAACTTTTGTCGAAAAGTTTACAGCAAGTTGACTGAATAGTAGAGCTTGGCCTGACAGTTTATTTTAAAATTTACTGAATAACGGAGCTTTGCCTGAAAGTTGACTAAATAGCAAAGCTCTGACTGAAAGTTTACTACAAGTTGACTGAATAGCACAGCTCTGTTACCCACACTTACCCACATTTTGACCTTTCAGTGATCACTCAGTTGCCTAAATGGCAGATTTTCATTCTGTGTGCAATTTACGTTTCAGTCTGTTTTGATAAAAATGCTCAGGTATTTTTATATTGTATTCTACAGTCAATTTGTTTGTGGGGCTAGATAAAGAAAAGATCAGGAATATTAGCAGGATACCTCTTTTGTTTAAATAAATCAGAAGAATTATATACTTCTATGGTGCATTTTCATTGTTCTCATATGCATGCATGCATAAAATACAACAGTTGCTCAGGTTTTAGTTATAAGAAATTGATCTGCAAATATTTCACTGCAATTAGCATTTTAAGTTAATTTTTGACTTGATTTTGTGTAATTCCTGTGATTATTTATGTACAAGTACTAATTTATTGTTTTTCTGAGAGTATACCAGTGCTAAGTTGATTGTATGTCATGATCTGTTGTGGAGTTGAACAAAATAATTGTTAACTCATCATGATGTACTGCAGTTAGGATTGTTATTTGCTTGTTTTAAAAAACACAGTTTATTCATGATGAAAAACATCAAAATAAACTATAAAAATTATCAAGTTGTTTTCTTTTCCATTTTCGGTTTTTCTGGAATACGTTGAATACGTATACACTTGTCAAAGCATTTAATAATCCATTGCAATGTCAATGTGGTCCACCTCCATGTCTAATTTATAATTTTGAATCTGAAAATAGTTTCTGCGAATGGAACAAATTTTATTGAAGTGAATAAGGGAGACGATAACGAACAGGTATTCATCTCATCAAAACTTTAAACATTGTACATATCTGTAAACGGGGCATCTAATAAACACGGTACCCTGGAAATTTCCAGAGCTGGGATCAGGTAGATATGAGGAATAAGCACCCGCAGATGAATACAAGTCGGAATTTTTCATATTTATTCTTCATATCTTAATTTCAACAAAATTAATTTTATTTTAGATTACACTGATTCTACACACAAATACATTGAAGGTGATATTTAAAGGATACTGGACTTCCACATTGACAATACTTTTGTAGTCTTCGGATACCAGGACTTCCACCACACTGTCGGAATTCTTATTTGATCGTGCTCCTTTATTATATGTAGCTTCACATGAAACAATTTACTCAAAAACTTATACATGCAAAGAACAAACTTGTTATGGCCTTCAACTTAGCATTTTGATATACAGTGTATATCAGTGATACATTATCAATTGACAATAGTTAACCTTACTTCATATGTCGATTCCACACTGACAACCAAACCGTATGTCAATCGAGATTATTTCTACTTTTGAAAAAATATGTTAAAAATAAAATTTTTGGACTTAGATTTCAGTAATTGACAGCATTATTATCTTATATTTCTTTCGAAGATCCGATGAATTGATCTTATATGTATCCTCATCGAGAAACAGGACAAGTCAGGTAGAAGGACCCTCAGCCCATTTTCTTCATCTTCCCTACCCAAATATGTATTCACATTTCTTTCTATAAATTTACGTTAAAGTAAAATAACAAAAAAAATTAAATAAGCTTTCCAAAAAAAAAAAAATAATAAAAACGCACCCTTTTGTATTATAGAAGAAATGCTTAGGGTTCATTTAACTGAATAATGGCCAATTGATCAAACTTTGGTTAAAGTAACGCTACAAAATCATACACAAGTCAAAAATAAAAATATGCGTACAATGCATAAATATTTTTACATAAATATTAATTAATAGTAATCTATTTATTTACTGTAAAAAGTGCGTAATTTTTGAAAGTGCGTCGTAACACAGCCCTCACCTCTGGCCATCAGCAATGCGAAAAGGGAAGCAATTTGTAAGTTTTCTCCTGCCAGTACATAGCCTCCACAGGCACCTGACGTTACTTATTTTTCTTTTAATAAAAAAACATACCATACCAAATTCTTTATTAAAAGAAAAATAAGTAGCCTAACGTCAGGTGCCTGTGATAGCCTCTCAACAAAAAGTCCTATGCGGTGCCTCCACGCGGAAGCAGACTGATACACCTGTCGGCCCCAGGCTAACTTTGCAAGGGCGCACAGGAAGACGAGGCTCGAAAGCCTTGGTCAACAACTCATCTAGGAGAGAAAACTCGGATTACAACCCGAATTTAGTAGGAGACCGTTAGCAACTACTATGTTGGCCCACAGACATTTATAAACTTGGAGGTTGGACTTGAGGCTAATCACCTCCTTTCATAAAAAAACATTGATTACGGAAATCGTTACAACAATTAGTACCACTGAAGGAAGGGCAAGCGCGATATGCGAGATTCCAGATGAGGATTACCTTCATTGGGAATTCGAGAGAATGACGACAGTTAGGAAAAGCCGAGAGGACTCTTACGGTCTGAAAGGAACGCAAATGCCATCCATAACAACACCTAAAACATCACCATGATCGGATGCTGGAGCGTAAGAACAATGTTCCAGATTGGAAAAACAGCAAACATCTTAAGAGAGTTTAACAGATATAAGTTGGATATAATGGGACTGAGCGAAGTAAGATGGACAGGTTTCGGTGAACTAAACATAACCTCTGGAGAGACCATCTTGTACTCCGGAGCTGAAGAACATCATAGAGAAGTAGAACTTATACTTAGTAGGAAAAGCCGACAAAGCTTGATGGAATATAATCCTGTTAATGGCAGAATCATATAAGCGCGTTTTTTCTCCCGCTTTGCCAAGCTAGCAATAGCCCAACAAACGAAATAGACGAAGCGGATAAGGACACCTTCTATGAACAGCTACAAAGAGAGATTGCAAAAGTGCCAAAGCATGACATACTGATGGCAATGGGTAATGCAAGTGCAAAGGTTGGAAAGTCGAATGAAAGACGGGGAAAGAGTCATGGGGCAAGAGGGCATTGGGACTATGAATGAAAACGGCATGATGTTAGCAGAAATGTGTGCTCTTAATAACTTAATCATCCGCGGAACCCTCTTTAAGCACCTTGACATAAACAAGCTTACATGAGAGTCACCTAATGGATGAGATAGGAACCAAACTGACCATGTAATGGTGAACGACAGATACAGGAAGTCTGTATGTGATTTAAAGGTTATGCATGGTCCAGATGCCAATTCAGATCACCATCTAGTACTGGCTAAAGTAAAGATGAAACTCTACAGAAATTTAAGAGCTGATAAAAGGAAAAATCTGGAAGATATATGTAGCTAACCACACAGAGAGTGCAGCAAATACAAACCGTCTGAGCAAAGTTTACCAACTGACCAAGCAGCTTTGTGGGGAAAAACAAGACAAGTGACATAAGGTCCAAGAATGGTGAACTAATCATTGAGGATGGAAAAATATTGGAGAAATGGAAAGAGCATTTTGAAGAGGTCCTTAATGTTCCAGCTGAAACAACAGAATTACCCGAAGGATGCACCATCCAAGAGAACAAAATTGAAGAAATTGACACAACACCAATAAGAGAGGAGGAGGTTAAAAAGGCAATCCCAAAAATGAAGAATGGAAAGAGTCTTGGCATAGATAATACCAATGCGGAATTACTAAAGGAGAGCGTGTCATATTAAACATTAGAGCTTACAAATTTATTCAACAGTATCTGTCAGAATCATCAGTGAGCATGAAAATACCAACAGACTGGAAGAGATCGCTCATTGTCAAAATACCTAAAAAAGGAGAGCTGACAATATGTGACACCTATAGAGGAATCACTACTATCTGTGCCATCCAAAATATAATTTTCAGAATAGTGATTGACAGAATAAGAGAAGGACTAGAGTACAGATTACGACCAGAGCAAGCTGCATATCGAAGAGAAAGAGGAACATTAGAACAGATTTGCACTCTAAGAGATATTTTAGAACAATCTATAGAGTGGCAAGCACCACTATACATAAGTTTCATAGACTTAAAAAAAAAGCCTTCGACAGCATAATAAGAGAGATACCGTGGGTCATACTAAGGAAATATGGAATTCCTGATGTATATGTGGACATCATCAAGAAATTAGACGATGGAAGGTCTAGTTGTGTTGAAGAGGAGAAGGAATGGACGACGAAAAGCTTGATACGTTTAATCGAAAATACCTTTGAAGGATCTTGATAATACACTGGCCTGAAAGATAACTAACAAATGTACGAAAAAACAAGATCCATACCTCTATCAAGGACTATCAAAGCAAAGAGATGGAGATGGATAGGCCACACCCTACGAAGGGAAGAGAACTCACACGTCAGAACACCTCTCACATGATCCCTTGAGGGAAAAAGACGAGGAGGACGACCACAGAACACCTGCCGACGCTCTGTTGAGAGAGAAAGAGAAGAACTGGGTTGGAACAGTTGGAAGGAGGGGCAGGTTGTTGCCAGTGACCGCCGTAAGTGGCGTTCTTTGTTTAACGTCGTCATGCGTCCTCCGGGGCATGGGGAGGATAAGTAAGTACTACATGTAGTAATCAAAATTCCAACAGTTTGTTCGAAGACTTGGTATCCGAAAACTCCATGAATATTGTCATTGAGCATCCGTTTGAAATCAACTTCAGAATACTAGTGCTTAAGTAAAGAAGTTGATTTTTTACGAAGTAATTTTTTATGACCAAATACGAGATTTGAAAATTCCTGAATTCATTTTTGTTAAAGAAGTAGTCCCCTACATCGAAATTCCTAGTTATTACATGTAATTAATCGCGAGGATCGGTTGTTCAAAGTGTTGATAAGTCGAATGTTAACGTCCAAAAATGTAATAACTAATAGGTTTAAATGAATCTTTGATTCCGTAACGTTTAAGTTCAATTCAATTGCATATTGAACCTATTGAATTATACCTAATTCGTGATTCATTTCAAGATAGATTCAATGAAATATATTCATGGAGATAACGAACAATGTTCAAGCTCAAAAGTCCATTCAGACAATATAAATCAAGAATAGAGCAAACACAGACCTCTGCAACATAGAGGTGGGATCAGGTCTCATAACAAGGAAGGAACACCCCTTGCCGAACGGTCACGACCGCTTTAGTATAAAATAGTATCATGGCTTAACCATTCAGCCAACATTTAAAATGATGACTTTAAATAAGACTGTTGAAATTCTTGATTGTTTAACTTGTTTGTCAGTAGTATAGCTCGTTTTAGAAATTGTTCATACTATAACCGGTAGAAATACACAAGTCGGTAGTTCGTTTAATAATTTATTATAACGATCCAAACTTGGCGTATGATACACGATCTGGACGTCGGCGTGGATAACGTATAACAATTATGAAATAAACAATTGCAATGAAGAGTTACTCTAAGCAGAAGGACATATTTGACATAATTGATATAACTGACTAATAATTAACATGTTCACTCAGGTACAAGTGGCATCAAATGTCTTGCGATCCAATACGCAGAACATGATCTTGCGTATAAAATCAACTGTAATATATTAACCCCGTGTAAACGTATATAAGGGTATATTGCTGCATGAGGAAATTATCATAAATCTTTATATTGTAAGGTAACCATTAACATCTTTTTCTAGTAAAATATCTAAACATGAAACCGATGTGTCAGACTCTGTGGTATCTTCAATCCAAAG